CACTAATGTAAAGAGCCCTTCCCCCACCTCCCCACCATCCCTTCTCAAGTATTTGTAGGCTGTAATCCGGTCACCCCTCAGCCTCCTCTTCTCCAGGGTAAAGAGCCCCAATTCCCTCAGCCGCTCCTCATAAGTTTTATTTTCCAGCCCCTTGACCAGTTTAGTCGCCCTTCTCTGGACCCACTCCAGGAGCTCAATATCTCTCTTAAAGCGAGGGGCCCAAAACTGGACACAATATTCCAGGTGCGGCCTCACCAGTGCCGAGTACAGGGGCAGGATCACTTCCCTGCTCCTGCTGGTCACACTATTCTTGATACACGCCAGTATCCCATTGGCCTTTTTGGCCACCTGGGCACACTGCTGGCTCATATCAAGCCGGTAGTCAACCAACACCCCCAGGTCCTTCTCCGCCAGGCAGCTCTCCAGCCACTCTTCTCCGAGCCTATAGCGATGCTTGGGGTTTCTACATCCCAAGTGAAGGACTCTGCACTTAGGATTAATTTAAGAAGGATTAACTTAATCCTTCTCTGGCATATCTGTCCCAGAGTCAGTAAATACTACTGTTCTTTCAGAAACTCAAATTCTGTTGCATAAGGAAAACAAGATATTTTTTTTTCCTAAAGATGAATTAATGTTATCCCTTTTCTAACTCCTACCTAGCAGGTAGGAAGTAAGCGCCTAGCTCTTTAATTTTCTGTACATTTGACAGAAGCCATTCTAGGTCAATGTGATTTGTTGCATCGGTCACTCATTCTCTCTCTGCTTCTGCACTCTGGATGTTTGTGTAAGTTGCATCATCTGAAATTCATCTTTATTACAAAATCTCACATTTTCTGAAACTGAACTTCATCTGGTCACTGTAACCATCAAGTTCCTCAGCTGAAGATCTGGTTGGTTTTTGCAGTCCTCCCAGGGAACCCTTACCCAAAAGCAGAGTTCAGGTTCCTGCATGTTAAAATGAAGGAGCTATTCTGAGACTGCTGCAACAGTCCATGTAACGTCATCCTTTGCTTGTTTTAATTCTTGCTTTATCATCAGAAATGAGAAAGGAACACTCCTGAGTGGTCCATCATATGGCACCCTCATTACCCTCTGAGAGAGGAAAGCTGTGCAGAAAATCTTGAAAACTACAGGTCAATTGTACTTCAAATTTGGTTTTAATGTTATTTTCAAAGAATCCTGGACTTCTGCATCCCTAATGGATGAGGTTTGAGAGTCTTTTTTCCTGGTATTGCATAAGATACTTAACTAGGAATACCAGTTGTATCTTACCCTTTTCCAGCTCTGACAACCTAAGACAGGCAGCTGTGCTTGTATCTGGAAGGTACTCCATACTTCAGAAATGACAGCAAGCAATATGTGAGAGATTTTTACGTTCAATTATCACATCCTGAAGAGTGACAAATGAGCAGAATGTGACATAAACTCTATCCTTGCATAAAGAGGAAGCATTTTAAAATCTAGTTATCTCCCCAGGAGCCCTATCTCCTAACCCTAACTAAGGAGATTGAATAAACTCTCACTGACTTTTGGTATAGATAGTGTAGGAAAGTTTAACCTAATATATAAAGATAAACCTAGTAATAATATACTGAATGTCTACAGTTCTGCTCAATACAGGTCTCCTGACTGTACTCCTCTTCAGCTTCAGAAAGATTTTTATAAACTCCACATCCATTTGGAGCGCATGTAACACTCGGGACTTAGAGTACCAGCAACCTGCAAGGTATTTCTTTGTTTCAAGACGGCCAATGATGCGTCTGTAAGGCATTTCTCTCTAAAACGTCTTCTTTTTTGTGAGTTAGCATGTAAAGTTATTGATGGCAACCAGTGAAAAAATATTTTAATCAAGGGATTTGACTGCAACAACAAAATCAAAAGTCAAATTGCGTTCACATACCACTTTGGTAGCAGTTCCTTTTTTTTTCTTTTCCGCTTGAGCAATTCCAGGCCAGGTGATAAAAGCATATTTCGCCTGAAGTGCAGCCAAGCGGAGCTGGAATTGAGCAGCAGGACCCACGTTCGCAGCTCTCACAGCACCTGTGTGGTCCAAGGGCCGCTGGAGGCAATGGCCAGCCCCCACAGCAGGGTTCCCTCTTTCCTCCAGCCGTACCCCGCTGGAGCCATGGCCTGAGCCATCTCAGAGAGACCATGACTGGAACAGTGGGGTGCCCACTGGGCAGAGTTCATCTTGCTGGGACTGCCAAGGATAGTCGGCCTGGCACAGCTGCAGCGGAGAGAGGACTGAGACCTGAGAGAAATGGCTATGCAGACACCAAGTTCAGCGAAGACAGAGCAGGAGGAGGTGTGCCGGAACTGAGACTCCCCTGCAGCCTGTGGTGAGACGGCAGCAGCCCCCCTGCCACCCATGAGAGACACGGTGGAGCAGAGACCCACCCACAGCCCATGGATAACCCCACGCTGGAGCAGAGATATCTGTGCCTAAGGGAAGTTGTAGATTGTCTCCATGAGAAGGACTCCCCCACACTGCTGGAGTGGGGACAGTGGAGCAGAGATGCATCTACAGACCGTGGAGGACCCCATGCCAGAGCGGGTGGCTGCGCCCTAAAAAGCTGTGACTATGAGAAAAGCCCACTTGGGAGCAATCCGATGGGTAAGGATTGCATCCTGCAGATGTTGGAGAAAGTCTGTGGACTATTTTTCTCATGAGGACAGGCTAAAATGGAGCAGGGGGAAAAAGGGGGAGGATGTAAGGAGTCCTCCCCATTGAGGAAGGAGTGGCAGAAACAGTGTGTGACAAACTGACCTGCAACCTCCCATTCCCTGTCCCTCTGTGCCACTGTGGAGGAGGAGGTAGAGCCGGAAAGAAGGGAGAGGTGGGGGGTGGGGGTGTTGTTTTTAAGATCTGGCTTTATTTCTTGTCCTGTCAAGTAACTGTTAATGAATTAAATTGATTTGTCACAAGCTGAGTCTTTTTTGCCCGGAGCCATGGTTGGTCGGTGATCTCTCTCTGTTCTTCTCTCTGTTACACTTTTCATCTCTCCACCCCATGGAGCAAGCCACTGCGTGGTAGTTTAGCTTCATCTGAGCTAAACCACGACACTTGACCTCTCCCAGGGCAGACAGCTGAGTGAGTCGCACTGAGGATGGACAGAGGAGCACCACCGAGGGGACCACCCCCAAAGCAAAGCTCCTGGCTATTCTGCTGCAGAGACACTTTCCACCGTATGTGCCTGACTGTGCCAATCCCAGTGCAAACCAACAAACCCGTGTGGTCAACAGGATGACACTGCAGACCTTCATAACCAGCACGCTCAGTCTCGTTTGCCCTTCTCAAACTGTGCTCCTCAAGTGCAAGACAAGGGGCTCCTGGAGTGTACCAGACTGGTTCTAGGAGCAGGGATCAGCTCCCACCCTTCAGCCTGGCCCTTTGCATCTTGAAATTCTGGCCTGCGTACCTGCTGCACATCCAACAATCACGTGGGATTATTGCTGCTACAGGTTAGTCATAATCTCTCTTGACGAAAACCTCTGTTTGATGAAAGACTAGTCTGAGTTACAACCATAAGTCAGGTGAGAAAAGGGTGAGGTGCTGGACAAGCCACTAGCAAGCATGACCTTGAGGCCCTGCCTGTCTTGAATAACTGCTCCCAGTGGTGCAGCCCCTCCCCAGAGCATGAGCTCAACTGTTCTGTTTCCAGGATGAAACAACTCCTGGAAGGAGCGTCCGAAGTTGCGTGCTGGGAAAACAGAAATCATGTGATTTCAACAACTTCTGGATAACATGCATTAGTGTGCACAAGGTGGGAAGCCACAAAGTGTTTCTTACGTGCCACATTCAGGGCAGCTCCGTGCTAAGCGTGGTGCAGGCTGTAAGTCAGTGATGTGAAGGGCAGTAGATGCAAAACACTATGGCATAAGCATTGAGGCAGGGACCATTCCAAGGCTTATGCGATGCAAATGAGACCTGTTTGGTGCAGAACATGATAGACAGAAATCAGGCCCAGGACTCCCAAGTTTTATACATCTTTGCAGAAGTCCCAAATAACGCCAGGTTTTCACACTACATGGTAAAATGTGTTTCAGGTACTGAAAGATTGCCTATTTCCTATGTTTTCACAGTTTTGAAGAAATTTTCAAAATACCCATGGCAAGGCTTTGGCATATTACGTTCATATGGTAAGCCTGGTCTGCATTGCGTTGGACCCAGCATGCATCTGCCATGCACAAAGTGTTGCAAGCTCGGAGGGACTGCAGAACTGAAGGTGCTTTATAGAGCTCAGCCAGACTCAGCACCTGCGTGGGTCAAGGAGGACTACTTTCTCGCTCTAAGGCTGAACCTAAAACCATTTCAAGTCTGGTTTTCTCTTCATTGTAGAGTCTTTTGGTCAGAATGGGGCCAAGGCCCATTGAGCATTAGGGAGCCACTGTTGATTGGTGTGTGAGGCTGAGCAACACAGGCACTTGGTGCTTATACAGTCTGAAAAACAGGAAGGGGCAAAAGGGATAAAAAGGCTTCCTTGGCAAAGATCTGTTCTGCAGCAAATTGGCCAGCTTCACATTTCACACATTTCAGTATCAGTCTTTTTTCTAGTGTTATCCTGGCAATCTGCATGATATCTTTGGGAAAACAATCATTTCTCATTAAAGATTTCACATGACAGAGCATTCATACTGAAAAATAGTTGCACTGGCTCAAGCAGTATTAAAAAAATATACCACTGATATAGGTACACAACAGAGCGATCACATTGCTTTCTTCTAAATAAACTCAACTGCTGCGGCTGCTGAGAAAGACTGCAGGACAGGAGGGATACAGGATAACTGCCATGGCTCACGAGGAGGTGGGTCACTGTAGGAAATTCTCCTCCTGTCTATGGTGACTGTGTAACAGCTAAGGAGTTACGTTATGGGGAGGTTCGCAGAGGATGAGGCAGGTCCTTTTCATAAAGCCTTCCAAAAAGCGTCACTGTTACGAGTGGTTTTGATGTGCCATGCTTACTTTTCAAACGTCCATCACGTAGCACCTGGTTGAAAAGAGAAAGGATGATACTAATAGTCCACTAACAGAGTAGCAATACTGCATGGCATAGAAAGGATAGGCCTTAGGTGTTTAATAATTTGATGCAGCACTTCTAAAAGACAATCCTGAGAATAAAAGATACCAGAATTCTCTCTGACTTTGCCATAACCTTCCCACATTTCTTTGGACCTGAATGTCTCTCAAATTTCCTCCAGCTCAATCTTTGAGAAAAAAACATCATCTTCTCCACCTCATAAGAAGGTCAGAGTAAGAATAACTGATTTGTTAGGTTCTCGTTAGTTAGTCATACATGGTGATGAAAGATACATACATGTCTAGGACAGTAATTTGAAATATTTTTTGATTTGTAGACCCAAAATATTTTCCAGATGGAAGTAGAGAATTTCAAGCTACTGGCCATATATTGCTTTTCTTAGTTATTTTTTACAGATCAAGTTGAAATCTCTGTTGTTCATAGACTGTGAACACCTGCAACTTTTTAAGAGCTTCTGTGACAAACAAAAAGCATGTATTTGTTAAGAAAATATGATTTTTTTTTAAATTAGACCATGATCATATTTTAGCTTACCAGTAAATTCTTTGATATCTATGTTTTTTTACAAAACAAATATAGAGGATCAACAATGCTTTTCCATTCTCTACCTTGCAAAAAAAATCTGCCTTGTTTCTCCTAAAACTTTTCAAGTCTTTTTCACCGTCTTCATTGTCTCTTGTAAGCTATGAAATACCTCTTCCAAATTGATTAAGATTTTGTCCAGCCTCTTACCTAAACAAAATCCAAGGTTCATGGATGAAACATTTTTTGGCAAAAATAAATGATGAGGTTTCAAATAAAAATAAAACAACATACAAACTCCTCAAAAATCCCTTTTAACATTTTTAACTGCATAGAATCTCTGCTCTTATGTGTGATACTCATTAGTAATTTTTCTTTCTTAAACAATTTCTCAGAGCATTTGATTTCTTTGTCTCCTAAAATGCTCATCAGCAGAAACCTGTAGAAAATAGCTCCTTGAAAGCTGCAATTTATAGATTTGGGACCTGAAGTGGGAAGGCATGTTTGCTAAAGACAGCACTGAAAAGATTGTCAGCCTTAGCATTTATGCATTCTCATCAGTAAGGATTAATTCAATCCATCCATTTAAATGTCATAATGAGTTATGGTCTGCAGAACAAAAGACAGTGGTTCTTGGATGGGACTTTGCTGCTGTATCTTTTTCCAGTGCCATGGACTGGAAAACCTTGTGCCAAACACTTCCAGGGTGCCCTGTTACCTTGAACTCCCCGGGGGCCAGCTGCACCCCGCTGTACAAGACTTCTGGAAAGACGTAGTTGGTACCAAATGTGCCGCTGAGGGAGAACATCTCAAACTTGGTCTGCGCCGTCTCCACCGGCTGCCCACACGTGCTCAGGTCTGTGCTCTTGCACTTGAGCAGCGTGCATATCTGCAGGGAGGAGGAGAAAGGCAAGATACCACTAAGCTTTCAACAATCAAGAGCTGGATTTGATAGCAAGAAAAGATCTCACAATGCTGGAACGTACAAGTGTTTTGGGATGGTTGGGATGTAGGCATATACAAGTCACTTCTATAAAAAGAATTACCTGCCAATGGTATTTTATGAGAGAACCGTGAAGCCCATCAAAAGCACCCAGGACATAAACTTCATCTTTGCTCTTGTTTGACATCCGATAGATCAAATGACAGCAGAGGTCTCCTTGGCAAACTGTGTAATTTCCAGATTTTCGCCTGAGTTCACTGAAAGTGAATACATCCCGCCGGACAGTTCCCGAAAAAGTGTCTTTTTCTCCTGGAAAGTTCTTGATTCTTGTGGCATACAAGCTCCAGTTGACAGCAGGGGGGTAGGTGGGGGAAAGACGGGGGTGTGCGCTCAGCTCTGCTAACAGGAGATGTCCCTCCTCTGTCCCACTGTCGTAGTGGTAGGCGGCGGGTCCCTCCGGCGTGAACAGCCCGCTGCCTGCCAAGGACACCCACCAGCCCTCCGTCAGCCCGCACCTCGGAGCGTGGCTTGGCAGGGGCGGACAGTTGCCCCCCGTGCCACACCAGAAGGCTTGAAAAAGCCATTTTCACATGGCACATGATGCCATTTTCAGTCAGCATGTTGTGGAAAATTTTCGAAGAATTTTGAAGTGCAGAACCGCTAAAACACCCATTGCAGTGTAAAAACATGAGCTAAACTTTACAGGTTTTGTGCTTCACTGGATCTTGAATCTGAGCCTTAAATGGCAATTTGACATACCACCATGTCTTTTTTTAAAAACTTAGATTGATTTAAATATAAATCAGAGCTCTAAGAGTGGGATACTTGCCAAAGGAGGAAACCAGGGGGCTAATTACATTTCACAGAAGGAAAGCCAGGGCTGTGGACTAAACTCAGCTCAGTGTACTTAGGGCAGGCAAAAACATTCCTTTGTGGCTTTCATTTCTGCTTTGGGGAAGAGTTACCGAGGCAGCTACAGTGTTTTCCCAGTTTACAGAAAAAAAAAATGGCAGTAAGTTTGATCTATTGAGATCAAACCCAAACATAAATGTCTCCAATTCTTCAGCAGCAACAAAAACCTGAAAATGCTTTGTTCAATATAAGACAGGAATCTTCCTTTTGGTTTTAGGTTATTAAGTTCTGTTTAAAACATTTTTTCCTCCCTTTAACTTATGATTGAATTTTAATCAATAAACGCTTCTCCTAAAGAAGAGGCTGAAAATTTACGTGAATCTTGGTGCTATTTTTTAAAGGACATTTCACTTCTGAAATATCAAAATTTAATGTCATGGACTGTCTAATTCTACCTCTCTCAGAACACTCAATATTTCCTTGCCTGAAAGCTGTTTACTATATTCAATGCAACATCAAGAATATTTTTAGTCTGACTGAAACACTATTTTCCAGAGACTTCATTATTTGTAAAACAGTTTGCCTGCTTCTGAATCCAGTACTCTGAAGACAATTTCCCTTTTCCCAAATGCAGCTCACCTGTCATTTCCATGCTGATATTGTGAGTATTTGCTGAAAGCAAATTGACACCCATGCCCATAGCCCAGGCAGAGTGAAACTCAACCGCAGTCAGAAACGGCAGGACATTCATCCAAGCTGTTGGGAACAGCACAGTGTCCACTTGCAACTCGCTCACCAGGACCACGGCAGGCTCACGGAAAAGGATGTCGAAGCAAGTGAAAATGCCAAACTTCCCAAAGGGGGTCTCAAAGGTGACGGCTTCTGGCTTTTTAGGGTAATCAAACTGAGTTTCTCTTCTGAATAAGTTGTACTGCAGGTGAAGAAAATGGCATATTAGAAACTAAAAATAAGGCAAGATTATGAACAGCTACTTTTGCCTCTGAGATAGGCTTTAAGGCAAATCTGAGGGTTTAGATTCCTGAGCTGGCCAGCACAGCAGGTTTGCATCCATCCAGCTGACCCTGTCCCCCTGCAAAACGGGGTGGCTGCACCCCAGCTGCCTCCTGGAAGCAAAGCCCAGCCAGTATTAACTGCTAAACCCTGCCAAGACGTCACCTGCAAAAGCGCTGTCTGGCTTGGCTAAAATTGTGTCGAGGACCAGCTAACACTTACTGAGTATGCAAAACTCTGTCACTGCCTCTTTCCCATTTACTGTCAGAAATGTAGCCCTTATGTGTTTGGTATCTGACGTGCTCTGCAGCTGCAGAGCCTCTGGGAACGATGCCTGATCAATCAAGCACTTGCCTGCTTTTTCTTCTGACCCTAAGATCCTTGCATCAGATCATCCTGGATTGGTTGTCACTCTACAATTACGTAAAATTATTGTACAAACTAGCTGATATTTATGCCAGAGAGATGAAGTGTATACTGATAATCGATTACAGGGTGATGCTGAGGCACCTCTTTACCTTGTGGTAACGAGCCACCAGTTTCCCCTCCGGATCAAAGACGACATCAGTATTGTACTGATAGCGACCGTCGCTGGGGCAGCTGGGGTCACTGGAGTTACATGGCTTCTTGTCCCCAATGTTTGCAACCACATAGATGGAGTTATTCCTGGCCATGCAGCTGAGTCGTTCCTGCACTGGTACTGGAGCAAATCTAATGTATTTTTGGTGAAGAAAAAAAAAAAAGGAAAAAACTTCACAAGTTTAATTTCAGATGTGGAAGAAACGCATTTGAAATTACTATTTCACTAACTGTGCATCCCCAGGTGCAGAAAAAGGGATAGATCAAATCATAGTTTCCATTCATTTTCTTCTCTGTTGAGTGCATCATGCTAAACTCCTGGTCTCTTCTGGCTTTAAAAAATAGTCTCCCAGTGTTCTTCTTTTCCATACCCTTAACAATGTGATTTTCTGTGTGGATGTTAATTCCCAGCTAACACATACTGAGATATGGACAGCTTCAGAAAACAAGGGAGAGAATAAATTGGTATACAGATATAAAATTAAATAGCCTAAAAATAATTTTTCAGGCAGATCTAAGCCTTGATTTCGAAAGACCGTTTTAGGCTTTTTTAAGACTCTTCACT